GAGGAGATAACGTCACTATCTCAGAGGTATCTGCACTCCCATGTTCATAGCAGCATCATTCTCAGTGATGAAGATCTGGAAACAGCCTAAGTGTCCATCAGTGCACGAATGGATAAAGATGATGTGTGTGAGTCCACATATATATAGTGGAACATTGTTCAGCCTTAAGATGAAGAAAATTCGGCCATTTGGGACAACGTGGTGGAACCTGGAGGACATTAGGCTATGAAATAAGCCAGGCACAGAAAGAAAAATACTGCATGATCTTACTTATGGGTGGAATCTAGAAAAATCTAACTCATAGTAATAGAGCAAAGAGTGGTGGTTTCCAGGGGCTGGGGAGTGGAGGAAGTGGAGAGATGTTGGTCAAAGGGAACAAACTTTCAGTTATAAGATGAATAAGTTCTGGAAACTTAATGTACAACATGGTGAGTAGTTAATGATCTATACTAAAAATTTTCTAAGGGGGTAGATGTTAAAGTCTTCACACCAGACGCACAGAAAAGTGGTAAGTATGTGAAGTGATGGATATGTTAATTAGCTTGATTGTGGTAATCGTTTCACAATATATACCTATCTAAACATCTCCTGGTCTTTAATACATGTAGTTTTGTGTGAGTCATACTTCAGTGAAGCCGAGTGGGGCTTTGATTCTTTGATTCTTTGAAGAGCAACAGGAGTGATCTCTAAAGTCTCTGAATGTAAAGCTTAGTGGCTAGGATTTGTGCTTGTTTAGTTTGGAGGAGAGAAACTAGGAACAGAAGCAGACACAGAGTGTCTGAAGAATTCAATGAGGAAGGGGCCCGTGGTTCATTCTATAGCTCCACAGATGACCAAACAAGAAAACGTGGGCTTTGGCTGCATCAAAAGAGGGTTTCCCTGGATGGGAATGAGTCCCACAAGCCAGCAGGAGCAGGTGTGGTACCTCCTTCACTGAATAATCCTGACAATGGAATAGACCAGCTTCCAACGTAAGATGAGAGGCTCAGCACACACACCAGCTCCCTCCTTATTCCAGGAACTCCTTGGAATCGCAGAAGAAATATTTTGGACTACTTGCAAGACCAAAGATAGAATTGTAGCAGAGAAAACCATAGCCCGAGACCAAAGTGAGGCTCAGGCCAGTTTGTCTAGGTGATTTATTGAAGAATGTTTTTAGTAACAGCTCCAACAGGCATTTCCTGTGTCCACAGATCAACCGGTAGCTGTTAATTTTCTCTTCAAGCCATAGCTCTCTAAAGAAAGTAGAAATACTGCTTGGGAACAGCTTGGTAGAGAAACAGATCTTGAGGCCACCAAAGATTTTTCTCCCTGGAGTAACCTCCCCTGCCACCCAATTTTGACATGGTCAGATTCCCCACCTGCTTGAGAAACTAAGTAAAGACATGGGGGGACATGTCAAAGTAATTAATTCCTATATATCTACATGTATGTCTTAAATATATACGTGTGTGTGTGTGTGTGTGTGTGTGTGTGTGTGTGTGTGTAAACTCTCCACCCAACACGGGGCTCTAACTCATGACCCTGAGATCAGGAGATGTCTGTTCTACCAGCTGAGCCAGCCAGGCAGCCCCCCTCATATTTATTTTTTAAATTTTTCTGATAAAAGCCTTAGAGTTGAAAGGCTTTTCCAGTCATGATGTAAGAACAAGCTATTAGAAAAAGAAGCAAGAAAACAAGAAGAAACTCTTGGAAATAAGGTTTCTGAAATGAACCCCAAAATGTAATGGATAGTTTAATTACATGGTGGAGACCAAACTGTCGATCTGGGAGATGAAGCTGAGGAAGAAAAAAATATGTGAGAATTTGAGCACAAAGTCAGAGATGTGCGAGAGAAGAGTTTCGAGATCAAGAGGTCAGAGCCACATGGTCCAGAGTCCTTTAACAGAATCTAAAAGAAGATAGAGATGGTGGAGGAAAAGAAGAACCAAAGAAATAAGGGAAGAAAAAAAAAATCCCTTGGCTAAGGGAAGATTCTTGTCTCCAGAGTGGGGGGGCCGGCTGGTGTGAGTGGCATGAATGGATACATTGGAGCATTCCATAACTAAGGAGGAAAAGCAGGACTCATGAGGCTTCCAAAGAGAAAGACTGGAAGCCTTTAAAGAGAAAGAATCAGATGAGGCATTAGCAAAATTGAATGTTAGAATACCCTCTAGCATTGTCAGAGTTCTAGGTTGAAAAGAAAAAGCCTGAGCCTAGAATTCTACCCCCAAACTGAGTGGGGGGAAGGAAGTAGAGTGGCTTTCAGACATCCAAGAGTTGAGAAAGGTTAGCGCTGTGCAGACTCTTTAAGAAGGGGGAGAAAACCAACAACAACATAAGGTTCAAATAAAACCAAAATCAGATTCAACTAACGGGACAACATTGAAGAAGTAGTGATTGTTTTATAACCCAGAAGTGAATAAGATCAAAATGAAATTAAAAGAAAATCTTGTATTTCGCAAGACACTCAAAATGTTCTCTTCTCACTAACAAAGTTTAAATGACACTGTATTACATTTCCTTTACTGGTGTTCTAACCATGGGGCACCTGGGTGGCTCATTTGGTTAAGTGTCTGACTCTTTCTTTTTTTTTCTTTTTTAGGTGGGCTCCATGCCCAGCACAGGGCCTAAACTCACAACCCTGAAATCAAGACCTGAGCTGAGATGAAGAGTGAGACGCTTAACCGACTGAGCCACTCAGGCACCCCTAGTGTCTGGCTTTTGATCTCAGCTCAGGTCTTGATCTCAGGTGTTGTGAGTTCAAGCCCCACACTGGGCTCCACACTAGGCATGGAGTCTGCTTTAAAAAAAAAAAAGTGTTGTAACCACTCTGCTTGGTTACAGTGAATAATATTTATATAATAATAATATTTCAAATGCTGTTTAGTGGCTTTTAACATTTAGACTCAGTCCATGGACAAAGTATAGAAGATTTGCTTATCAATTATAAAATAGAATGTAAATGTTATATATATATCTGCTGTATAAAATTAATTATAATCAAAATTAGGAAAAACTTGAAGAGGCAGGAGTATAAATGAATTAAATGTACCATCCTTTGTAGGAGAGAGTTTAAAACCTCTGATTAAATTTTTTAAATCAAGAAATAGGAGAAAAAACATTCTAGTGGTGTACACACACACAGGGTGGAACACTACTCAGCTATTAAAAAGAATGAAATCTTGCCATTTGTGACAACATGGGTGGATCTTGAAGTTATCTTGCTAGGTGAAATAAATCAGAGAAAAACAAATGCTACATTGATTTCACTTAAATGTGGAGTCTAAAAAACAAAACAAACAAAAATCCAGATTCATAGATAGAACAGATTGGTGGCTGCCAGAGGGGAAGGAGGTTGGTGGAATGAAATGGGTGAAGGGGGATCAAGAAGTACAAATGTCTTCAGGCGCCTGGGTGGCTCAGTCAGTTAAGTGTCTGCCCTCTGGCTCAAGTCAGAATCCCAGGGTCCTCAGATTGAGGCCTGTGTCGTGCTCCCTGCTCCACAGCAAGTCTGCTTCTCCCTTTCCCTCTGTACTCCCCCTTATGCTCTCTCTCTCTCTCTCAAATAAATAAAATCTTAAAAAAGAAATACAAACTTCCAGTTGCAAAATAAAGTCAAAGGGATATAATGTACAGCATGGGGAATATAGTCAATAATATTGTATTTTGTATGATGACTATGGTGACAGATGGTAACCACATTTATTGAGGTGATAATTTTACAACAGATACAAAGGCCAAATCACCATATTATATACCTGAAATGAAAATAATATTGTATGTCAGTTATACCTCAGTTTAAAAAAAAAAAAAAAAGGTCTTCGGTGAAGTTGTAATGGTAATTACCAGAAAAACTGGTGGGGACAGAGACTTGATATTTCATTTTTGCCCTTCAAAGAATCTGCATATTTAAAAATCTATATGTAAATAGCTTTTTTTCCTCTTTTAAAGAAGTTGTTAGAGGGCCTTTTATATTTGGGGACGTGAGAAGTTGGCTTTGAACTACCCCAGGCAGGAGACTGAAAGGTAGCCTTGGGGTTCCTGTGTGTGTCTCCATTACTCCTTCCACAGTCCAGCCCTGCTGTCAGCTTTGCAGCCAGACTCAAAGTAGCTGACAGGCCAGCAGGGGCCATTCCCAGAAACGTGGTTGGAGGGCAGTGGTCAGATGGGGCTGGTTTGGTTTCTTGAAAAGCTGTAGCAGAGCCCACACCTTGTCCTCCTGGGAGTGACTCTCTCCGAGAAGGATCCCCCAGATCCTGGGGTACAGACGACTAGGATACCTCCTCGCCTTCCTTTGAGTTCTCTCGGCCATTCCTGCTGTGGCCATGGCCGTGGCCATGTGAGTCTCTGCCTTCTCCAGAGTGCTGGGGCTGTGGATACCAGAAACAGCCCAGGCACTGTCATGAGATGACGCGTGCTTCGTGGGGCTCCCCACATGGGCTCACACGTTTGGTGGCACAGATGTCCATTGGACTGACCAACCCGGAGCTCTCGGGACATTCAGCCACGTCTAGAGATACTTTTGTTGTCGTGCCTAGGAGAAGGGTAGTAGTAGGTAGAGGCCAGGGGTGCGGCCTGGTGTTCTACAGGGTGGGACGGCCCCCTAGTGTCCGGGTGGAGAAGCTGATACACTGTCTCCTGTTTCCAAGGCATGAGCTGGTGGTGTGTCCAAAGCTGGAATGCTGATTGAAACCAAAATTCTCATTCAACATAACAAGGAAGTGAGAAGGATGCTTGAATGAACCTCAAATATTCTTATTGCTTGAGAAGCAGGAACTGCCAACCCGAGAGTTACCAGTGAACGCTTCGGGCTGACAGAGGATGGTTTAATCTTTGATTCAGACTATTGTAGATGCCAAGGATTTTCTGAGCGTACTGGTTAAATGGGGCATAGGAGGGTGGGGAGAGGCCTTTTGTGGGTAGAAATCCAGATGATTTTCTCTGGGGGATTTCTAAACACGTTGTGTGGGGTGTGGGTCTTCTTTGCAGACATTTTTTCCTTAATTCTCTTTTTAAAGTTATCTGAAGCCCATCCTCACACACAGCGGCCCCCCACTGACCACCACGCTCCCAGCCTGGTGTGGCCTGCTTGCTCGGTGTCTGACCAGTCCCCAGGTGTACGACGTAAGTACAGCACGTGAAGCGGGTTTTCCTGTTCGCTGCCCCCGGGGAGTGTTTTCTCCAAGAAGAGGAAATCTCTTGCCTCCAGATCCACTGGTTTTGCTTCTCTAAATAAGATGATTAGAAATGGCCAACTTATGTTGATCTGTTTTGCACAGTAACAGAGAAATCTTTTACCTGGGCCATGGGGCCCCATCACGTCACAGCCATGGTGTAGTAGAAAGAGCACTCAATCTGGAATCAGAACAACTAGATTTGAAGCCAAGCCCCGAGGCCATTTAAATATTCTGTGCCTTGGTTTTCCTATCCATAAAGTGGGCCCAGTTGCACAGGCTGGCTGTGAGATTAAAGGCTAAGATACAGAAAAACACTGTGAACCACAAAGTCTTTAGCAGATGTGAGGATTCTTTTTTGTGTATGCTTTATTTACATTGATGTGGTTAGGTCCTTTTCGTTTTCAGATTCAGACTTAGCACAGTACAAAAAGAATATCCACACTGGTGGACATCTGAGCTCTGGGGCTGACTTGTGAGCTCTTCCTGTGGGTTGCTGGGCAGAGAGGTGGGGAGAGCAAGCAGCTCTCCACATAAAAGGACTAGAGGAGAGGGGACAGGCCCTTCTTCCTCTCTACTCTGCCTCCCCAATCAGCTGGTCATGAACACAACCATTCTACCCTAGGAGAGAAGGACTCCTTAAGTTTGTGTAGAACTTTATAGCTCACAAAGGCCAAGTTTATTCTCTTGGCCATACTGTAAGTAAGCTGCTACTACAGGGTTACAGGTCCCAGGATTAGTAATTGGCCCAGCTGAGACCCTAATGCAGGTTTCAGAGAATTTGTAAATAACCTGCAATTGACTTGATTAGCGTTGAGAAAGCAGAATGCAAAGCTCAGATCTGAGAGAGAAGGCCCCTGACCAGGTCGGTTCTAATGGGGTGGGGCAGTGGGCTTGGGAATGATTGTTGGCATTCGGGTGCTACAGAGAGTTGGGAGGCATAGCTGGGTGGTGGGGGGCGCTGGGGTCTGGTATGCTAAGGAGCAGCCTCCTCAGAGATGGAGCAACTTGGTCAAGAAGCAAGAATCCCCCATACTGTCCCTGCTGCTTGGGGCTGGGGTCCCGAGCGGTTCTCAGCTGCACACACAGTGAGGCTTGCTATTGTCGAAAGTGGGAGCATAGAGTCTTTGAAAATTAATTGAGGAAGTCCAAGGCGAGAGAGGGGAAGGGCCCTCTGTGGAGTTTGGAGCCCAGTGAGGGTCTCGGGCAGGGCCGCTCTCGAGTGGCTGTTTGACACACCGTAGTCCTCACCTGTCACCTACAGAGCGTTGGTACTTTTGGTTTCATTGGGGGGTGTTGAAGACATCCCTCATTCACTATTTGCACTTACTCTAAACCACTCAGGTTGGATATCCACCTAGAAAACAGGGTTCTGCCGTTCATGAAGTTGACCGCTGATGGTTTAAAATGGGCATGATCCTGTAGCACAAGTGTTTGCAGGGTTCTTCAACAGCATTCTCATGGCAGCCTGCAGTAGACAGCTGGTTGCGTGGTTATACAGACCTCCAGTTTAACATCTAGAATTCAAGGAAGTGGATTGGTTTCATCATCCACGCATCACGTTCATTAAAGCTCTGATTTGGAAATCCCTGTCCACTGGGTTTTACAATGTCCTTGTTTTGGGTACTCTTTGTCCAGGCTTGTGAGTTCCGTAATGGAATGGGTCAACAGCCAATCTTGCTTTCTCCTGTTGGTGAATCTAAGCACAGCTTCCCCCTGCCAGGGGTCAGCATGGGGCCACACAGGGGCTGGTGTCTGGGGGCAGGCGTGCTTGGCCCGGGCTGTGGTAGGGGGCGAGGCTGCATTTGTGGCATTTCCCTCCGTACTGTTGCTTGGCATTCCTCTCTGTCCTCGAAAGAGTAAAATGCGTGCCAGGAGAGGCTCCCCCTGAAAACGGGGAGCCAAGAGCTTCGGCTGCAGTATTTTGACAGAGATGAATGAAAATATTACTTAGCACTCACAGGCATGGGAGGAATGGAACGTGCTAAAACAGGGAGCGTGAGCTCATTTCTTGTTAGGAAGACTATGGCAGGACAGATGGAGCTTTGGGACTTTCTAAACCCTGATGGCGAGGAGGAATATGGGGAGTTTGGAGTGAGTTTTGGGAGTACGTTCTGCCTGAGTAGAGGATTCTTACTCGGTTGCACATTTGCACTCTGCCTCATTCCGTGAGCATTTGGGGCTGCAAGCAAGAAGAGTCGCATGCTTGCCTGTCAAAGCCGAAGCATTGATTTTAGTGGAGTCATGCTGTGGAGCGTGGAGAAGTCGGAGAAGTTGACATCACTGGGGTGCAATGCGGAAAGCTGGCTTGTGCTTGTCCCCAGCGAGCGCACGCAGACGCTGGGACTGGAGGAGGCAGCCGGCACTCCTGGGGGCGGAATGCATTAACCAGGTGCTCCTCTAGCTCCTGCTGTGGCTTCTGTGCCTCAGGGAAGGGCACCAAGAAGGGTGGGGGAGTGCAGGCTTGCCAGGGAGAATGTGCCCATGGCCTTGGGCAGCGTGACTGGTGGGGGAGCGTCCTGGGGATCCCCACAGGAGTCTGTCAGGGATGCGGGTCCCATGTCCTGCATCCAGGACACCCTGTGGCTGAGACAATGCAGGGGCTCCAGATGCCCTTTGAAGAACAGTTGGGAACTAAGAGAGCGAGAACAGTTTAGCCAAAGCATTCCAGAACTGTGTTTGACAGATGTGCCATGGGGGCAGCAGGGGACCGAAGCGCCCCTCCTTTTGCTGGTGAAACCCATTAGAGGGTGAAGGATTGTGTCTGACCCGGCGCTGCTTCCCGAGCCCTCCCCGTGGGCTGGGAGTTCTGAGAGGCTGCCATTTGTCTCCTGCCCAGTCTGGCGTCCTGATCTGCTCTGCAGCGACAGCAGCTCAGCATCAGCTACCGGCGGGGCCGCTTCCGGACAGACCCATCCTCTCTGGGGGCCCCCGAGCCAGTCTGGAGGCCTCAGAAATCCCACCCCTGCTTCCTATCAGCTGGACCACCTGGGGTTAATTCCATAGGTTCTCTTAGCTCCGGTCTCCTTGGAGACAGGAGTGTTCCTGCCCTTCCCAGGCAGGGAGGGGTAAGGGTCGGAGGAGAGCTCAAGTGGCCTCCCTGGCAGGCCTGAAATACATGCTCAAGAAAATGCTCCTTCCATCTCCACCGCATCCATCAGAGGCCTTCCTGTCAGGGCTGGAAGGGGGTGGGCTGTGGGGAAGGGGTTCTTCTATGGGGACTGGAAGACAATCCTAGTTGGGCTCTGTCTAGGCCCCTCAGTGGCTAAGACAAAGAGTAGTTCAGATGCAAACCAGGTACATTTAGGGTGGTTTGTGTGGGGCGGGAAGCCCCCTCAGAAGACCTGTCCAGAGAAGAGAGGGACCCCCAAACCTCTTTGCACCTTTGCCCAGTGACTTTCGCCCTCCTTTTTTTTGTGGGTTGGGAAGCTGAAGGCCCAGGCTGGCCTCCTTTTTTTCCCTTTTGGCACTAACCCTGAGCTGTCAGGCGTTTAAAAATTGGAAGTGCTTCCTAGGCTTCAAAGCCCTCGTTCGGGGGGCACCTGGGTGGCTCAGTGGGTTAAAGCCTCTGCCTTCAGCTCAGGTCATGATCCCAGGGCCTTGGGATCGAGCCCTGCATTGGGCTCTCTGCTCAGCAGGGAGCCTGCTTCCTCCTCTCTCTCTCCCTGCTTCTCTGCCTACTTGTGATCTCCGTCTGTCAAATAAATAAATAAAATCTTAAAAAAAAAAAGAGTCTGTTTAAAAAAAAAAAAGCCCTGGTTCGGGCAATGGTGCCCTACCTTGAATAGCACTCGACAGTTGGCATCCAGTAGCCACACCAGAGGCTCAAGGCAGGCAAGTTTCACAAGCCCCAGTTTTCAGAAGAGTGGTTGAGGTTGGCTCCAACCCGAGCAGAGATCAGTCTCCCATTTGCTGTTTTCATTCGTTGCACTTTTCAGAACCAAGAGCCGCTGAGAGAGGAAGACTCAGATTTCATCCTGACCGAGGGTGACCTCACCTTGACGTATGGGGACAGCACAGTGACTGCAAATGGCTCCTCGGGCTCCCACACAGCCTCCACGAGCCTCGAGGGCAGTCGGAGAACCAAGAGCAGCTCGGAGGAGGTACTGGACCGAGCCCTGGGAATAGGAGACCAGCCGGTGTCCAGTCGGGGCACGCGCCTAGTGTTCCCCCTGGAAGATAATGCGTGACTGCCCCCCCACCCCCAGCCTGCAGCGATGGGGCAGCCCACCCGTGCGGTGAGGATGGCTGCAAGCCCAGGCTTGTCTGAGCCAGGGCACTGACTCAGTGGAACTAATGCTTCTGTTTTATTGAGGTCTGAAGCTCTCTTAACATTTAAAATTTAACCCAAGATGCAGACAGTGGGGCTTAAGTGTGTCTACATCAAGACAAATGCAGACCCATTCCCACTTTCTCACATAGTAGTGTGCTGTTCCGAGTCAAACAAATAGCATGCTTTAACGGTCCAACTCATTCACCTGCGGAATCCAAGCCAGGCGCGGCAGGTGTGGGGAGGCCTCCCAGGAGAGGCTTTGGGTCCGTACGCAGCAGCGCAAGGTGAGCTGGCTGCAGGAGTAGCCAGGCAGGGTGAGAGCAGGCTGGAAGAACGGTCCCGAAGGAAGGCCACCGAGACCGGACCTCTAAAGGTCATGGGAAGCCAGTGGTCAATGGGACAGAGCTCAGGAGGAAGCAGTCGGTGCGGCAGCCCTAGCGCGGATGGCTGCGGGACTGTGAACTCATGTCAGGCTTCTGTACTTTTTGTGCTACCTGGGTTTCCTGTAGACTGAAGATCGGAACTCTATCCGTGAACATTTCAACATGGGGAAAGAATTGGAATTCCTTCTCTGGAAATCTCCAGAAAGAAGTAGCTACTGAAATGTTGAAAACCAAAGGCAAAATTGTGTTGTACTGTTGGGTTTTTGGAATTAATCCGAGGACAGAAGAAACTGTTTAGAGACTGATGAACGAAAATCAGTCACTTCTTCAGGGCCACCACCGAGGTGTCTACTGTGGGGTTTAGGAATAACACCAAAATGTGTGGGATGCTTCTCTCTGGGGACGAGAGAGCAGCAAGGAGCCTAGGAGGCAATAGGCTAGTCTTCAGAGTTGGGGCAGGGGGAACACACTGCGAGAAAAGTTGACCATAAAAGACAAGATGCTGTTCTAAAGACAGAGTAGAAGTCCAAACTTTGAGCTACTAAATGCATGGGATGTCAGTGGCTGGGTGAAGAATGAGAGGCAAGTCAATGGAAAATTGAGCATCATTCAGTCCAGTGGACACTTAGTCTGCTTTAAGGTTAAGAATCTAGATGTCTTAACACCGAGTGCCATGTAGAGAAGGGTCATCTTCTTGGTATCTGGGGAGGCTTGTACCAGCTTAATGTGTGAGTATGGTTTGAAATCTAAGTGTTTAGTTTGGGTTCTTTGTGGATGAGCTGTTCTGCGTGGTAACTAAAATACTGAAAGAGCTCTTGGAAACCACATTTGAGATTTTCCCTGGGTCTCTATGCTTCAGTGCTGGTCTCTTAGAAAGAAAATCCAGTCTCTTTAAAAAATGCTTTCATAAAATGTGGCCATTTTTCTTATTGTGGCAGACAAAATGGCAGCCCAGTCAAGTACACCCATAATGAAACCAGCCATTTAATCTTCTTAACTCACATTTTTAATGGCTAATATTTAGATAAGACATTAATGCTTTGCTTTTTGAATTGATAATTTGTGCAAAACAGGCAAAAAATTACTAAGTTGAGCCATATGAAGTTGCTGATATTGACCCATTTTTCAAAGTCAGAAGTGGCAGTTTCATATGGTTCGATATAATAGAGTTAAATGATTTTTATTCCCCTCCTTCCTTTCTATGTACCTTACAGTCCATTTTGGTTTTCTCATGCCTCCATGGGCTTAAAAAACGAGCTAAACCATCTAACCCTGTAAGGCTCCAAAGTACCCACGCTAGTGAAGGATTTGAGAAAACCTCTGCGTCAGAGTCAGAGAAACAGGTTTTTTCCAGAGCCCCTGGAGGTCATCTGTGTCGTGGGGTCAGAGTGTTGGAAGCAGCTCCCAGGCTTGGCTTGTGTGCCCAAACCCAGCACAGGTTTTATTCAGTAGTTATCTCAGTAACGACCAGTCATGCCTATAAACTCGGAAGGTGAGGAGGCTTTCCTGTGTGTGTGTTGTTTGTGGAGGTGGAGAGAGAGGCTGGTCCGCTCTTTGGACGGGTCTTTATAAAGCCTTGCTTGCCTCTTACGTTGCTTACTTATTTCATTTTGGAGGGAAGAAGCTACCGGAAAAACCCTGATAAGGTTCTTGAAAAGAGCCAACCAGGTAGAACTCCTTCTCTGTTCATTCAAGTCAAGCCTTTGTTGTCATTCTGGTTTTCCAGGAAGCTTTCAGCAAATCAATAAGAAATTGCCCTCATAAGGAGGGAAGGTAACCAGAGTTCTCCAGCCTAGTTCTAAGTCAATCCATAGATTGTTGTGTTTCCCCCAAAAAAGGTCTTATAGTCTTGACTGCAAACGTTTTATTTGGACCTACTATAAGTAAATGGAGATTTGCCAAGATCAAAATTTTGCTAGGGTTGTAGTTATTTGGTTGGATTTTTTATTCAGTGGATTAGAGTAAGTCAATGACCTGTGGCCCTAATTTTTGTTTGCAAGATGTGGAGAATAATCCTGACCTTATCAGGGGTCCTGGGAAAGGAGCCTGTTCATCAAAATGCTTCCACCTTCTAGAAGCTTTATGCCTATGCCGAGAGGAGAAAAGTGGGTGCCACAAAGCCCCAAAACCATCTAGCTCAAGACCGACTCTCTGCTGCCAGTCTGGCATAAATCAGATTGAAACTGCTGAGTGCATCTGGTTTAACCTCTTATAAACATATTTGTTCTGGGTTGGGGGGGGTGTGACAGTTCCACAGAGCTGGGTGTCCTAGAGCACAGGTTCTCAACCCTGGCTGCACATGCAGAATTATCTGGCTAGTTTTTTTTTCTTTTTTTAAGTATCAGTGCAAGGGCCCTGTGCTCAGAGATTCATAGCCAGCAGGCTTGGAGCAGGGCCTGGCTTCCGTGCTTAGTGTAGATCTTCAGGGGTTCTCCTGGGCAGCCAGGCTTGAGAGCCTTTTAGTCGAGAACTTGCCGCGGCACCTTTTTGGAACCTTGAAGAATGGTCTAGCAGACTGAGTTTCCTCTTGTTGCTAGTCCTCTGGAACAAACCTAGTGTCGATCAATTAATACAGCCCAGACAGGTGCAAAGGGATTTTGTGCACATTGTCTGTGCCGAACTCCTGAATGCACTCCGTGAAGCACAACGCTAAATGTCACCTTTGAACACCTTAGTGCAGGGAAAGGAGTGATGGGGGACTTGAGCGGATGGACTGGGTGGGTGGGGGTGGTTAAAAACCTGTCGTCTTTGCCCCCTTCCGTGGAAAGAAAGGGGTTCGGTCTTCACAGAGTAGCTATCAGGTGTGAAGGCTTTGGAGAAGTCGTCTCTTCAGTATAGCCTGCGATTACTCGGAGTCCCCTTTGCAGTCTAGTCAGCTTGCTTTCTTGTCACACCTGGCTTGTCCCCAGGCCCAAATCCCTGCTGGACTCCTCAGCAGAGGCGTGGGCCCATTTCATGCGCAGAGTGCAGGCCGCGGGGTGGGGGGAAGCTCGGGACGGCCTGGAAGTCACGAGGCCATGGTGTCGGCGGACTCCTGTCCGCGCCGGCAGACAGGGGCTGTGCACTCCAGCGGTGCCTGGTTGTACTCGCTTTGGGGACTAGAGGAGACCTGAGCTTTGTCTCCCGGAGAAGGAAATCTGCCCTTGAAATGAGGCTGCCGTGCAGGAGGAGGGCAGATGGGATCACATGGCCTCTGCCCATCCCTGGCGCAGCCGAACCAGCCCCCACGCCCTGCAGCCCCAAACCCTCACTGCGACATCACATGTCTCATCAGGCAAACAGCAAGGAGCTTTCAGGTTGTGCTGTGCTCTCTAGACCAGAGGACATTTGTCCTCTGTGGTTGGGGGGACAAATGAAGTCTCTTAAAAAAACGCAAGAAACGTTCTCTCAGCTGGCCACGAGCATTTCAGTCGAGGGCGATTTCCTTCCAAAGTAGAGGGGCTGTTTCATGACACACACGTTCACAACCCCCACCCCCAGTTCTCTTGCTCCTCCTCTGTGTCTGCTGGGGAAATCAAGGTCATATTAAGGTGTCAGATACTTTAATATGAACAGAACAGTTTCCAAATGTAGAAACACCACTGATGCCCTGAGGGGAGACGGACTGGCAGACAGGGCTGCTGAGCCGCTCAACAGAGGGGAGACTCAACCCCTCAGGCCCCGAGCTTGGTACCCATCGTGAGTTCTGAGAGGTGTCTCGGCACGCTGCTTTCCCCATCTGTTGTAAGAGGTCATCCGGAATGAGGGCTTCGGGAAAGCCAGCTTGCTGATTCAATAAGTGCGTGACTTCTCACCCGCGAGGGAAATGGGGAACTTGAGTTTCATGCAGGCCTCTTGATGCTGATTCTGTGGATGAGCTCGTGTAGGAGGGAGTCTGTCACTTGCGTTAAAGGGACACTGCTGAGCTCCCGTCCCTTCTGTTGGTCTCTGTTCAAGTGTCAGATGCGGTTCTCTGCTACAGTAGCGCTGAAGGAAATCTAATGGCCAAGAGTTAGAAACAACCCATCCGAATGCTGCTTTCACTCTGGTACCCGGAAGGGCCCTTCCGCCTTTCTAAAACCCAATAAGGACAATATACAGAAAGCTTTGCTAGTCTCTAACTAGGAAAAGCAAGTAGGCTCTTTGACAATCTTTTCAAAACCAAACCTAGGAATCAGCCCCTTTTTCCCAGTTTCAATGCTCCTAAGTAGGGCTTTTATTTTGTTTTTAAGCTAACAAACATGTCTCGCCGCCCATTGTGAGCAGAACTCACAAAAACCAAAGTTTTTGATGTTCGTTGTATTTTTGTAAGGCAGGGTAGAGCCAGGACCCACACGGAACACCCAGGCAGCCAGTTGTCTGCCACATGAGTCTGGGAGAAGAGAAGGCAGACCCCCCTGTCTGGCCAGATTTTGAAAAGCCCTGAAACGCACAGGGAGCCCCTGAGAGAGGCCACCTTCTCTTTAGGACGGCCGCCTTTGAAATAAGGGTTAACGGAATTGCCACAGGTCAGGGTCAGCGGTCGGGGGCCTGTGGATGTGGGAGGAACTCAGACTGAAGGGGCCTTGTACATGGGAAGAGGAACTCGAGCCGTGCTGTTGACCGCGTGGAAAGCGGGTAAGGCCCCAGGGCAACTGGGTGTCTGTCCCACCACTTGGACATCTGGGGGTGGGCTTTGGGGAAGTGGAGGAATGATTTCTGGGTGTGGGGGGTGTTAAGTCTGTGGATTTGGAATTTATCCCTGAAATCACTTGTTCAAAGAGCAACTTCCGAGCAGGAGCCCCTCCGCCTAGGCTGTTTTTTTATTTTTTACATAAACTACATCTGGTCCTTCTCACTTAGGAAGTTTCACTCTGTCCCATAAAATGATTACATGGTAAGGCCACCAAGATTCATTTAATAGGTGAAAAGCAATTTTTAAAAATAGGATAGGATGAATTTAACATGGGATATGACCTTCTGGGGAACTTTTTTATAGAGAGCTTACATATGTAATTGGGGAGAATTTTGTCTTCTGTTTCCATTCACAGTAGCAAACCGGTGGTTTTTATAAAATTAACATTATAGTATGCTATATAAACATGTTATATGAAATAAAAGTATGTTGAACTGTGAAAAAGTAAAGACTTGGAGTTATCGGCAACCTTTATGTGCGCTAAGGAAAACCCGCAGTTAGGCCCCCAAAGTGCTACCCTTCCCTAGCATTTTACTTTGTTTGCCTTTGTATATATGTTTAGATTGATATTGTAAAGCTAGCTATATGTTTTCCTGCCCTTGACTGACATTTAACACATTTTTCTCAAAGCTTTTTTTTTTTTTTTTTTTACAAAACTCAAAATAAAAAGATTAACTGGCTGAGCTAATCTTCTTTTGCATTTTAAAAGTATCGTGTGATCCTTAAGTCTGTTTCTTGGCCTCATGGCGGGGGGGGGGTTCTTTTCTGGGTGGAAGCTATTCCTCTCCAGGTCCCCTAGACCCAGGATTGACAAATTAAGGCTAGCTAGACCCTCTGGATCAAATCGCCCCCCCCGTTTTTGTAAATAAAGTTTTATTGGAATACACTAGGCTCCTTCATTTGCATAATGTCTGTGACAGCTTTCATGCAGAAAGCTGTATGTGACAGGAGTGAGCAGGGATTTGTGCATTAAGCCTGGAGCATTTACTATCTGACTTCCTACAGCAGAGGATTTTGCCAACCCCTGATTCAGGTGCTTGAAAAACTTGAGTTTCAAAATAGGGTCTAAAAATCGCAGCAGCAGACTTCTGAGATGATTTAAATGTGCCTAAAGAAACACTTTAAATCTGGTCTGTGTTGGGACTTCTCCTGGGCTACAACAGTCGTAAACAGACTCTGAGTGTTGGATAACTGCTACGATCCCAGAACTCAATACAGCTTCCTTGATAGTC